TGTCGCCCTCATTGTTTACTGCAATCCAAGGCATTACACCAGCCAATAGCAACTCAGCCGCCTGCGCCCGCCCACACCCAATAAACCCTAAACCCTAAACCCTAAACCCTAAACCCTAAACGGGGGAGTACGACAGCCAGAACAGCGGAAATAAGTAATGTTTATAACCAGAGAGAGACCGATCAATACACAAATGCTGCTGCCTTGCAGCTTGACGTTTTTTGCCACTGAAATGAAATGAAGGGGAAGGAAAGAAGAAAAAGAAGCAGAGAAAAGGAAAAATAAAACGGAGAAGAAGACGAAACACAAAGAGAAACAGAAGCAAAAGAAACATATAAAAAAAGAAAAAAGAAAAAAAAAAGAAGAACACACGGCGTACAGCCCGGCTGCATATTCCCCCCAAAGAAAGTTCATCAGCGCAACAAAAAAAAAAATAAAATAAATGCATTCAACTGAAACTGCAACGAAATCCGAAGAAATATAATTGATTAAATAAAATAAATATAAAATATTAATTATACTTTATAAAAACTATTTAAGCAAATAACTACAATATATTAACAGATAAAATAAAATATAATAAAGGCAATAAACACAAAAAAAGAAAAAAAGAAGAAACAGAAACCCCAAGCTGTTGCTTCGCCTGCACTATACCAACCGAAACAAAGCATATAAACTACACCTAAAACAATATAAATATTTATATTTATAATATTAAATATATTAAATAAAAAAATAAAATAAATTTAATACAAACCTGCTGGTAGTGGTGCTGCAACACCGCCCGCGTCAACGCAGACTGGCCCTCCTCATCCACTGCTGTCGCCTCCGCCCCCCCCCGCAGCAGCAGCTGCAGCGCGGCCCCCCGAGCAGTAAACAGCGGCGTTTGTCCTTTAGATTCTATAAAAGAATAAAAAAAATACAGAAAATACATGCAGATAAACAAAAAAACAAAAAAAAAACAAACAAAAATAACAAGCAAGTGTATGTGCAACTGGTTTTGTAACATATGAAAATATACAAAACGAGAAAAAAAAGAAAAAAAAAAAGAAAATATTATAGTATGTGGTGGCAGCACAACTGAGTATACACTCTACTCTATACTTTATAGCAGAAGCCGCTTAAACCCCACTGCTAAACCCTAAACCCTAAACCCTAAACCCTAAACCCTAATTGGAACGTTT